AAATTTGAAAACCGCTGCCGGTGCTGGTTCCAGGTGATAATGTTTCAAAGCCCACCATGCGTGGCACAAACCAGGGCTGGATCTTGCTGCAGAGTAAGAGCTACATCTTCCCCTTCCCCCGCCCACCGACTTATTCGACTTTGTCCCCTTAAAAGCTGGGGAAAGTGAACTAAATTTGCGGAAAGTTCTTCGGGCTTTGCGGGAGGGGAAGGTTAGTTTCGGTTGCTTACGGCGCAGATCCATAAAATCGCGTCAAACGGTAGTCACAATTACCTGCATCTGGTACACATGTCTGTTGATTTGGAACTGCGCAGGGTTTAACCGGGTCTAATTAGAAGCACAAGGGACACGCGAAGAGTTTGAGTTTGAGGGCGAAAAGCTCAAACTCTGCGCTTAAAGAGTTTGTCGTTCTGGAATTGTTGATTCATTCCGGTTATCTAACTGACAATTTTACAGCTGAATCATCCGAGCAGAACTGCTTTTGTCCCGCCCGAACATAATGAACCGATTTTACAAAATTCTGGATCGATTTCACGAACGCCTGTCGGCAGCCGCCTGGTGGGAGCCGTCGAGCCCACGCCAGGCGCGCAGCGTCAGACGCCGACGCTCTAAGGTTTCGAGACAGGGAGCGCGCATGCTTACCACTGTGATTAGATATGATAAAGTGACGATTAACTTAAGACGACGTGAGCGCTCGCCCAAGCCAGAATGTACGCATGAATCCGAAAAATTCCATCCGGCTCTGGGATTTGAAGGCGCAGCCTTTGGACATGGTCCTGTCCTGTAGTTCTGTATCATTGCGCTGCATACGCCGTCCGCCGCCGCCTCCGCCGAAATAGAGAAATCGGCGTTGGGCTGTCAAGTAAATTTTGACGCTTGAAAAATATAAAAATTGACTCTAAAGCAAAACGTGGCATGAATGTTGGAGACAGAAAGTGAGCGATCTTTTGCATGGTGTGAGAATAATAAGATCAGCTCGGTGGAATCAAGCACGGGACCTTTTGAGTCTCTTGGCAAACGCTTACACGGCATAGACATAATGGGCGCCAACGATCCTATGACGTCATGAGCTGTGGTCCAAATCAGCCAATTACCTCCACGTTGGCTAAAGGCAGGGCGCGCTTCGGGCGGCGTCATCATAATCAATCAATCAGCATTTATTTAACATCCTGTCGGACAGCGTACAATGGAGGAACATCCAACTATGCACATACGCATTACATGCTTGCAATATGCGTAACCGCCCACCAATCCACACACGCAAGGTGCACTAGCCTTCTGACGTTCGAGTCGATTCTAGTACACAGTCATCTGAGAGACTCAGTCACATCCACAGTCATCTGAGAGACTCAGTCTGGTGGCATCCACATCCACAGTCATCTGAGAGACTGGGTCACACCACACTGGGGTCGCACTGGGGAAACCAGGCAGCTCTCCATCCTCCCGCATGCCGAGTTGGCTAGCCGCTTCCAATCTTGTACGCAGAGCAACAACGCGGATCCGGCAAAACTATCGGCAAGCTCAGCCGGGCGGAAGACAAGCACGGCTAGAGCCCTCAGAAGAGCTTGGCGCAAGCGATATGGAGAGTGAAACAGGCCGCTGAACTTTTTGGGGACAGCAGACCGCACCTCGTCCTGTATTGGCGGTGCACGCAGGACCTTGAGAGGGGCCGTGTTGTGCGCTCGCCGCGGAGGTCCTACAGCTGCTCTTAAGGCAGACGCCCACCAGGCCTCCACGCGCTCAATATCCGCTGCAGTCAAAGCCGCTTATGCGCTCCCAAGAAGAAGAGCTGGAACCACAATGGCGGCTTACAGAAATGCTTTCTCCTTTGCCGGAAGGCGGAGACCACTGGCTGGTGCTTGAGCGTAAGATGACTTACGCGCGGGGTGCAGACGGGCGTCCACGTGGCGCCCGCTGCGCGGCTCCGGGCCGAGTACGGCACCCGGTCACCCGGTCTGCGCGCACACGGCCAATCGCTGCCCACGCAGGTACCATTTGGACTCGTCTTAGGTAAGCCTGCCCCCCCCGCCAAAAGAAAACAACAAAGTGCTTAGTGTATGTGCAGTACCGGGGTGCACAAACTCCAAACAAGCACACCGGGTGGTGAACTCTTCAACAATCCTTGGCATGCGACTCACGTGATGTTCGTTGCTGAAGAGGATGAGATCGTCAGTATAAGTCACCACTGGGACATGAGAGCCATGAAGACGCGCTCCAAGACCGATGAGGTTCAGCTGCCTGATAAGTAGAAACAAAAAGCACTCGCAAGTTACGGTGACAAAATCGCTTCCTGACGAACGCCCGTGAAACAATAAACCCAGCGACCGCTGACTGTCCAGCGCTATGCGGGCTGACAGAGACGAATACCAGGCCGCCAGGAGTGCCCAGCTCCGCAGAGGCAGGTGCTCAGCAGCACGCAACAGGAGGAGAACGTGCCGTGCTGTCGAAGCACTTCCGAGCATCTAGATTAGCGGCGAAGACCGGCCCCGACTAATGCGCCACCGCGTAATCTGCTCCAGAAGGAGTACTGCTTCAGAAGCCCCTCGTGTCTCCATGAAGCCGAACTGCAACTCGCTCGATGCAAATGACGATTTAAGCTCACCAAGGGGCGGCATTTAAGCTTATCAAGGGGCGGAAACCACTGAACCGTGCGAGATCGATCGATGATTATCGAAGACGTCCAGACTGGACCCACGTTTTTTTGCGGAGGCGCACAATCGTGCTGCAAACGAGGCTGAAACTGCACCTGCAGGTGGTGAAAACGGTCGGTCAAGAGCCGTGCCAAGGCCTGTAAAAAGGCTGGAGAAGCTCGATACAGAAGGTGCTCGGCCCGCGCTACACCGCACCTCAGACCACAGCACGACGTGCAGCCTCCTCAGCCTGAGTATGCGAAAAACACCAGGGTCAGCCCCAGCAGTGGCTCTGAACATGATGTTTCGCCACAACCTGTTTATTCGTAAACCCTCCCCGGCTGCAATGAATAGAGCTCAAGTGAGACGTGAAATCCTCGGCCCACGAGCGGTACAGGCCGCTTTACAACCGCGTCCGCGCGCTCAAAAGGCGCGCAGTTGCCCGGGATGACGTCATGCGGCTAGAATCCGCGGCTCTCGGTCCGGCCGGGCACCAGCAGCCTTCTCACGTGCCCGCCGACAGACTCTCAGCGCATCTCTGAAAAAGTTGTGTAGCACTGGTCCGTGAGGCCCGCCACTTAGCGTCCAGAGATGAAACCAGAGCCGCGCTCTGCCGCGAGTGGCTGGGCAAGACGGCGTTCACCGAGGTGTCGGCAACCGCCAGGGTCTAGAACAACCGGCCTCGGAGGCTGCAGCATGGATCGCCGATGTCAGCGCTCAAGCAAACCGGTCAGCGCTGAAACAACAGGGCAGGGTTCGCCCAAGCAGCCCGGCCAGTTTCCGCTTATATACATAGATACAAGGATATCTATTTACCGATTTGCACGGGCTCGCCACCAGACTGCTGCTGGGCCCCGATTTATTTTCGCGCAGCTCAGGCAAGAGAAACGGCAAATTTTTCACCATGCCTCGTGCGTTGCTACTGCTGTCTCCTGCTCAATAAGTGTCAAATATTGACAAATGTAGCTCGAAATGCTGAAACGAATCAAGTACGAACCAAACGTCAGGATGCGCTACTTTGCCACATATTGCATGTCAGCCTGTTTGCATCCGTAAATTTGCAATGTTTGATGTGAATTTAACTGCGCAGAGTAACTATGCAAGCTGCGGTGAATGGGAACGGTCTCGAATTGAAACAGGAGTGGACTGCTTTTGCCACGATTCATTGTCTATGCCTGCTAATTGTTCCGAATTACGTGACGCACTCATTGTTTGGCATTGCTAGACTGCTCAAAATGATAAAGTTAAGTGGTACGCGGGACTCTGAACTCCCACAAAGGCGGGCCATGCGCTGACCAAAAGTCGTAGTTCTATGAGGAACAGGGGCGGAGTCTTTAAGAAGGTCCAAATATCCAACAACATGGATCTCTCAATTGCATAGTACGGATGTAGAGTGCGTGAGAGCTTGGACCGATCCGATGGGAAAAGTAAGCAACAGGATAACAGGGCGACGCCCGTTGTAACAGAGTGACACCCAAGGTAACAGGGTGACGTGTGGAATAACAGGGTGACACCCAGGGTAACAGGGGGACGCCCAGGGTAACAGGGGGACGCCCAGGGTAACAGGGGGACGCCCAGGGTAACAGGGGGACGCCCAGGGTAACATGGGGACGCCCAAGGTAACAGGGAGACGCCCAGGGTAACATGGGGACGCCCAGGGTAACAGGGGGACGCCCAGGGTAACATGGGGACGCCCAGGGTAACAGGGGGACGCCCAGGGTAACATGGGGACGCCCAGGGTAACATGGGGACGCCCAGGGTAACAGGGGGACGCCCAGGGTAACATGGGGACGCCCAGGGTAACGGGGTAACGCCAAGGGTAACAGAATGGCGCAGCAAAGGGTAACAGGGTGACGCCCAGGGTAACAGAATGGCGCAGCCAAGAGTAACAGGGTGACGCCCAGGGTAACAGGGGATCGCTCAGGGTGGCACATTCAACCAGGGGCGGCGAGTTTAACGTAATGGAGTCAATCGATGCGTCCCTGCGCGCAGGCCAGGCCAACCGGTAGATGCACCACCCGATAGCTCAAACACCAATCCCAGTGCTGCATGCTGCGCATGTGAGTCATGTGCGTGGTTCCACTGCATCCGGTCAGTTGAAAACGCGAGTGATTTGCTCGTTGATGGAGAAGCGACATGCGAGGAAACGCAGCGGCACATTGCCACGGTCATCAATTATTTTCTACTGACGGGCCGAGGTTGGAGTACAGCAGACTACAACAAACAGTATGCCAAGGGAACGGGGACCAATTTACACCGGCTCTATGGTAGCAAATGTGTCATTGATGGTTGCTGAAAGATTGACGAGCGAAGCGACCGGGCGGAACTTCGGCCGCCCGACATTTTCGATCAGACAGCGGACACGTCAATATGCGCTGCTTCTGGCTGGCGGTGCTCGTCCTGACCCTGGTGACCCCGGGCCAAGGCCACTGGGCCTCGTCCCGCCGCGGTCAGAACCGCCGCCTGGCGGGCGTCTCCGTCGCCGAGACGGTCCCGGACATCTCGGCCGCCCAATGTCAGCTGGTCTGCCTGCAGCGTGGTGACTGCCGCAGCTTCAACCACCACCGGGTGGACGCCGTCTGCGAGATCTTCACCGCCACCGCCTGCGACCACTACGACTACTACGTCACCGGCGCCGACGGCTGGACCTGGTACGACGCCGTCTCCGATCCGTCCCAGGAGTCCAAAAGCCAGCTGTGGACTGACAGCATCTGCACGGACGGCGGCCGCTGCCGGGACGACATCTGCCTGCGCAGGCTGGATGAGCCGTGTCGGGAGCACAACCAGTGTCGGTACCACGTCACTGGCGGCACACAGTGTTCGTCCAGCAAGTGTGTCTGCGACTCGGCAGGCTGGAAGTACAACACCACACTCTGCGAGAAGGCCAACATCGAGCTCACCACCGACGGCGAACACTGGGTGTTCAAGAAACTGGTCAATGGGATCTGTTCCATGGAGTTCGACGCGCAGGCCACTGACGACCTACGGTTTGTGCTCACTGAGTCCAACACACATTACTCCAACCGCTACCACTTTCGGATCGGCTACAATGGCAACAGCGCCACCTACGTCGAGAGGATTCAGGAGGGTGTCAGGAGTAACACTTTCGCCTCCCACTCAGGCGCTTTGCTGGACGGCAACAACTACCGCAGGTACGGATTGCACTGGTGCAGCGGCCAGATACGCTTCTACAGGCCAGGAATCGAGACCTACATCAGCTGGGACGACCCGGAGCCCTTCTCGCCCGGCTACATCGGTATCTTCACCGTGCTGCAGGGACGGTGGCGCTTTCCAAAGGACATGGTGGACCTCTGGATGGGAGACTGGTCCGATGACCGCGTCTACACCATACCCAGGTGAGGCTACTCAAGAGCGCCACCCACTCACTGCCGGGGCGTGTAACGCGCGCAGGACTGCGCCAACCATGTGGGAGGCGCGACGGTTGTTTGTCGCTGCAGCAGCCGCGATTGTTTGTCGCTGTCGCTGCGCGGCAATGCCAGATGTTGTAACGTGCTGCATTCAGCAGGCGAATTGGCGCAAAGCACTGCAGCGCACCTTGGAAAGCGAGATGAGCGTTAGTCTTCGCCGTTGTCGGGAGGGGCGGTCGTCTACGATCCCCTCCCGTAGCTGTGGTTTGTTCGTTTTCGAGATCTCAGGCGGGACTTCCCACGGATTGTTTTGCGGGGCCACTGAGCGTGACTGTAAAGGGGTCTCGGAAAGAGAAAAGGCGCCCGTAGGGCAGGGATTGGTACCCTATCACAGTAAAGCACTAAATTATAATTATATAACGCGACTCACATTCTCTCGGAAAGTGAAAAGACGCCCGTAGGGCGGGGATTGATATCCTATCACAGTAAAGCACTAAATCATCATTATATAACGCGGCTCACATTCCAGTAACGCCACCTGCAAGCAAACATTCGCGAGGGACTTGCCGGAAGTTAATACGTCCCTACCCAGGCCTGCAAGGGCCACTTGTGACCAGAAGTGTTCGCGAACCCGCACCTTGATCCGTCCGGGATCGCTTCGATGCCTGTGGCGAGTGCGCCTGCTGCCTACTGCTACCGCGAGGTAGCAGTAGGCAGCGGGAGGTAGCAGTAGGCAGCCATGCAAGGCAGAGGTGAAGCAGTTCATAACCACGCCTCCTTCGCCGTCAGGCACTCAACGGTGCTCCGCCGCGCGACGGAGCAGACCTTCACGGTGAAGTTCGACTGCAGCGTCTCCTACGACTGCAGCTGGCTCGCCAGCGACACCGTGCTCTGGGACAACTCCCACATGTACCTCATCGTAATCGGAGGCTGGGGCAACGAGCAGAGCAGGGTCAGGCGCCACACCCCCGGACGCGGATGGTGGTCCCTGGCTTCCAAAAACACGCCCAGTATCGTCAGCCGGAGTGAGATGCGCACGTTCCGCATTCGTTTCGAGCCCGGCCGGATCCGCGTGTATAAAAACAATGCGAAAACCGCGTTCCTGGACGCGACCGACCCGTCCCCGATCACCATCAACTTCCACGGTCCGCGCAGCTGCTGCGACAGCGCCGGCATGGACGTGCGACTGGTCAAGTACGACCGCAGCTGGAGCTACGAGGACGGCTTCCGCTGGAACGAGGGCCTGCTGTAGGTGCTGCATCCCATGCAGCCACGACATCTTCCACCTGTTCTCATAATCTACCGCTACTAGAGTTAAACGATTAGCCAGAGCAGCGTGGTAGGGAAAGGCAGCAGCAGACGACACGAGAGCCAAACTGCTGTTTCATAACTGGCTTTGGCGGTGGTTTGATGCACCTAACGACAGAAGGACTGCAAGTCCTTCAGTGCTGACGTCACACCAGTGCTGACGTCGTTATGACGCTGAGACAAAACATGACCACGTTCGACACAAACTTTGAGGGGGTATTGGTCAGGGAACGATTGACCATTGCCACCAGCGCCTTAGGTCAGGTCCTCCTTTGGCTGGTCGTGCGGTGTGTAGGGGACCACGTTTCCTGCATGGGTCGTCGCCCGTAGGAACAACTAGTGGACACGAGTATTAGGGGCAGTGGTTGGTCGTGCCAGCCGAAGTCGAAAAGTTTGGTTGATTAAAAACTGGTGAAATCTGGTGTAAACTGGTGCAAACTGGTGCAAACCGCTTTGGTCTTTGGTCGGTAACAGAAGCAGCTGTGGTATTTTTGAACGGACCATTATAAAGCTATTTTAGTCATTTTGACGCACCACACAGCTTTCAAAAACTTTGGATAAATTGGAAACAATGGACAGTAGAAAACGTTAGGCCTACTCACGCTAGCATTATTGAACAGATGCCTATTTTTTGCCAGGTGGTGCCGCTCACAATTAACAAGCAACCACAATTTGGTGCCAACGTACGGACATTTGGGCACACAGGGCCGAAACCTGCGGTTTGATGCAGGCCAACGGCAGCTGGCCAGGCACTGTCAAAAGGTCATTTGAACAAATAAGGTCACGTCAGTCGGTGAAATATTTACTTTGCCGGCCGACGGTGCCCCCAAGACGACATCGTGCGCGCAAAGCTGCACCTTTCGCGCGCAAGTATTGCAAATCGCATGCCGCATCTGTGCGATGCGCCGCTTTCGCCCGCCCGAATATACGATAATATACGATGCATAATATACGTATATAATAATATACGTTAATATACGTTAAATAATATACGCTATGGGAAGGCTGAGGGACGTGCACGAAAAAACGAAACAAAGCCTGACAAACTTGTTGCATGGGCAGCTGACAGCCCGCTGCCATCGCTATCAAACGTGTTGTACGGAAAGTTGACAGTCCGCTGCCATTGCTATCAAATGTGTTGTACGGAAAGCTGACAGCCCGCTGTCATTGCTATCAAACGGACACAGCCGCTATTTTCGGGCTTGATTTGAAGTATTTTTCCCGGGCTGCCACACTATGGCCTAAACTATAGGCCAGGCCAGAAGTAGTTAGCTGTGCGCAAACGAGAGCGACTCGAAAAAGGTCATGTCCGCCAATGAGAAATTAGAATTGCCGGTCGTCAGTGCTTCCAAGCTGACATCGTGTGCACAAGGCTCCTCTTCTGCAGACATGTAAACGTGTTTCAAGTCTTTCGCCGTGTGTGTGCAAACCACCGCTCCAACCAGCCCACAAGCATTGAGTGATACGCTGACGTGGGATCTACCGAATAAACTCGAAACCAAAGTCCGACAAGTGTGCTCTCCTGTCAGCTGATCGCCCTATACCACCGCTATGGCATGCACATAGTCACAATCTTCGGGTTTGGCATTTTTCTCAGGCCGCCGTATTATGGCCACCCTGCGGACGCGTAGACGGAAGTCAGCGGGGGAATTTCACAAAGAACATGTCGGCCGATGAAGTATTTCTTTTTTGGCCGATAGTGTGCTCACAATGACACTGCCTGCGCAACGTTGCACCTGCCGGCCAGAAACGAAGGTATTTGGATTTGGACGCCGTGCTTGTACAAATCACAGCCCAACCGACCCGCAAGTATCAAGTAATACGTTTTTGGGATCTTCGAAAAACAAACTCCAAGGCAAAGCCCGAGCTGTTTATGTGCTGGGTGCTGATGGCCCTATACCAGCGCTGTTGAATGCACACAGTTGCAATATTCGGGATCGATTATGACCATTTTCCAAGGGGCGCCGTATTATGACCAGCATTACGCGGACATGTCGGCTATGCGTTGTCAAGGGATATTTGAAAAAAAGGTCATGTCGGCCAGTGGGACCGTTACATTACCCGCCGATCATACCCTTACGATTACAACCTGAGCGCGCGGTTTCATCTTTCGCACACAAGTAAAAGTAGTTCAATTGGACGCCGGATCTGTGCAAAGCACCGCCACGCCCAGCCCGCAATCAGTGAATGATACGCTGATGGGGGGGGGGGGGGAGCGGAGGGGGGAAGGGGTCGGCGGAATAAAACTGAAACCAACATCCGAGGAGTGTGCTCCACTGGAAGCGGATAGCTCTATACCACCGCTATCGAATGCACACAGTAACAACCTTCGGGTCTGGTTACAAGCGCTGTCTCCTTGTTGCCGAGTTATGGCTATCTCTCTACGGGCAAGGCTGCTGTAGTTAGCCATGCGCCGTTAAGGGGTGATTTTGCAAAGAATGCCATGCCGGCAGAGGAGATGTCTACATTGCCGGCCGACAGCGATTCCAATATGACGTCGCGTGCGCAAGGCTGCACCATCCCCGCACACGCAAAAACATTACAAATTGTCCGCGGCAGGAGTGCAAGTCACCGCGCCAACAAGTCCGCAAGCATGAAATCGGGATTACGCGAGAACAAATTTAGTTTACTAGTCGACCATTGTGTTGCACTGGAAGCTGATAACCTTATGATATCGCTATCGCATATACACAGTCGCAAGGCTCGGGGTAGATTAGAAGTATTTTTGTCCGGGCCGTTATTCTAACCCACCGTGTACGGCCAGGCTGGCAATGGTTATCCACGCACTTTCAGAGGGGATTTCAAAACATGTCGTGTCGGCTTATGATAGTTTTACGTAACCAGCCGGTAGTGCTCTCAGGCTAACATCATGTGCACAAGGTTGCACCTTCCGCACACATGTAAATGCATTTCAGATTATTCACTGCATCTGCAGAATTTACTTCTCCAACCAGCCCACAAGCATTGAGTGATACGTTGACATGGAATCGAACGAATAAAGTCGAAACCAACATCCGACCGGTGTGTTCTATTGCCAGCTGATCGCCCTACATGGTATACTATATGGTATACCACCGATATGGTATGCATACAGTCATGATCTTCGGGTTTGGTCGCAAGTATTTTTTTTCAGGCCGCCGTATTATGGCCACGGCTTTGCGGACACGAAGGCCAAAGCTGGCCCTGCACAGTCAACTGGGGATTTGGGAAAAAGGTTTTGACGGTGATGAGAGATTTACCTAGTCGGCCGATTGCCTTCTCAACATAAACTTATTATTCTAGGTTACATCTTAGGTGCAAAAGTGAAAGTATTTCTAGTTGTAGCCGTGTCTGTGCAAATCACCGATCGAAAAGGCCCGCTGGCAATGAGTGGTACGTTGTTGGGGATCGACCGAAAAAAACAAACCAAAGTTCGTTGAGCGCGCTCGACATAAAATCAAGTCGCGGCACTCCCAGCTAGGAAAAGGAGACAAGCATAAAGGAACAGGCGAAGAGGTGGTACAGGCCCGACAGGAATAGTGTTATGCCATGGGCAAGGACAAAAAATACATGAGAGGCATAAAGTAGTCATTAGCCAGTCAGCTAATAACAGCCCTCTATAACCACCCAGTAAGCTACAACCACTCATTCACAGTATTGGTAAGCGTTGTACAGTCACACAAGTCGGAGGGGCAATTGACTGGTCATATTCGTGTTGTGTTTTGAGCTGGATATCCAGGGAGTCCACCCAGCCAAGCGGAGCTTGTTGCTGGGAGAACTCCCGGAGCCAGCGCCGTGAATTTGGGTACAAATGCATGACTTTAACTATATCAGGACGTGATTATGGAACATGAAGGAAGTTATATATGAAGCGAGTTACACACGTGCAGGGCAAAAATAGCAATATCTTCAAAATATGTTGGTTACGTTAATATGCATTCACAAAATGCTTGCGGATGATGTTCTTGACGATGGTTTTTGATGCAGAGATATCAGTTATTCTTGGAAAATGTGAAATAATGGCATCGTTCCACAGTTTACGGCTAAGGCAAGATGTTGTAAATAGCTAATATTCTGCCGTTTAATCTCCAAACACCACCACTAACTCTATTTGTTAGTATAATGAAATAATTACATACATTAATTATAACAATGACAATTATATGGTTATTAATACGTTATGTCATCAATATATATTAATGTATCAATAAATTATATTATTATATAAATACAAAACACAATATTAAGTTAATTTAGATGCACGCTTAACGCTCACCCGAATCAGCGTTTTTCATGACACAGACTGATAAGGGGATTGATACCACCGTGCTTCTGGCCTTTACAGCAAATAAAGATAGAACTAGCGAAAAACATCAATGGATTGGTCTCAAAGAGATCTCGCGATTCGGAGTAGTTTTTATGTTATAAGGTCGAGTTTTGACCACACTATGCCAAGTCACAGGCTTCACTTTCGCAAGCATCGTATTTTTCAGGTTTACATGATACAGACAAGAACATACCTCTTGGCGACACGAAAGTTCAACAGTCGTGCTGCTGGTTCAGCTCTGAGAGCAATGGTATGCATTGTTTTGCATCTACTGTATGAATGTTTTGACCGTGCATTTATTATATATGGCGCCATTAGTGTAACAACATCGGCCCGCCACCTGTGTTCCAAGGCATCGTTGGTTGCCGCCGCCTCCCGCGCCGACCGTCGATCGTTGTTGCCGAGGCAACGAAAACAACAATCATCATCGCAGTCCGTTCAGCTATGGCCGCACTCCGCACTGCTCGGGTGTGGAGCACGTTCGCATTTTGCTGTCGATTTTTTCCAATGTAGAATTGAGCAAAGAGTCCAAATACCGATGTTCCGGACGAAATGATGGTGCCATCATTTGGAAAATTGATTTTTATGATGAAAAACATTGAAATCAAAGCATGGTGTCAATAAGTAAAATTGGCTCACTTGACCACTTAGGACATTACATTGGCTACTTATCACTGTTTGCCAATGAAGGACGTATGCTATAGCTGCGGAATTATCAACGTTTTAGGAGCATCCCTGTCGATGCGTCATTTCACGTCATCACCAACGGAAAATGTCCGGGCAAAAAGGTCTTAAAAGGTCAATATTGCGATTGAAGCGTAAGATAACCGCCAGACCACGTTCTGTGCACATCCCGAAAGGTGGCAATTATTTGGCAATTAATAAAAGGTGGCATTTAATTGGTGGCAATTAATTGGTGGCAATTAATTGCTTCTCCGATAATCATCCACGGAGATCCTCCATTTGCGTTCGACAGGCCCGAGGATGATTCGTCATTTTCTTTCGACATGAGTCGTGCACAGTTGGCGGTAATTTCCATAGCCGTGGCGAACAACTCTCCATCTTGACCATGCTCTAAAAATTAGCCGGCATCCTCCAGAGGAACGGAAAATTATCTGCGATAATTGTCCATGTTGGTAGTGCTGAATACCATTCCGGATATTTTCCAACATTGAGCAGAATTCCGGAGAATTCTCCGAGATTAGCTACCGGCCGAACACGCCCTGAGTTGGCGTGGAATGACCCTGTTGTTGAGAACAGGGACGGTGTAATGAATTTATCGCTCTCCCCACCCAGACATTTCTGCCAAGAAGAATTCCTGTTATCTTTCTTGACATCACTGCCGTCATTGTTGTTAATGCCATCATTGCTCTCCGCTACTGTTTGGTTGTACACTTGAATAACGGACGTGCGAAATTCTCAAAAACGTGCGTAGATCATAACGAACAGGTGGGAACAAATATGGAACGAATTCCTTAGATCCACATTAGATTCGCTGAGATCACTGACATTCACTTTGGTGAAAAATGGCTCCGGTCACAGCGCCGAGTATTACAGTTTTCACTGAAACATAACGCAATATCTTTAACATATAAATGGCCGCAGACATTCTCATCGTGACGCCACCGTAGGAAAGTCCTACCATTTACGATGAGGTTCCGTTCCGCCCCCGGCTTCATCGCATCTAAAGCTGAACGCAGAAATGCTGGGGGACAGAAACTAAGCGCAGAAAGGCACGCTCTTCGCAGCCAGAACTGCGCTCCAAAAGGCCATCTGACCAGCACAGAGGCTGCGCGCGGAACGGTCCTATCACCGCGGTCGGAAGTGCGCTTGGAACGGTCCGCAGCGCCGTGTCAACACGACGGCCACCTCCTCGGGAGGCGGCGGCGCTCCGTCGGGCGGTGTTAGCTCAAACTGACGCACGAGCCGGGTCACGACCCCGAGCGCGAGCGCGTCGGCGAGCCGCCGGCCGGGGCAGCGGCGCGGGCCGACCCCGTACGGCACGAACTTGTCACCGGCCGCGAACGCGCCGTCCTCGCGCAGGAAGCGCTCCGGTCTGAACTGCTCCGGCTGCGACCAGAGCGTGCCGTCCCAGTGGCCGGCCAGGATGCCGTAGATGATGACCGTGTCACGCGGTACGCGGTAGCCGTGCACAGTGTGCGGCGTCTCGGTGCGGTGCGGGATGCCAAAGGCGACCGGGCACGCGTGCCGAAGCACCTCGGCGACGAAGGCGCATGCGTGCGGCAGGCGCTGGCGGTCGGCGGCGCCGGCCGGCCGGCGGAGCGCTTCCACCTCGCGCCCAGGCACAAGCGCCCTGCTGCTCCGGACGACGCACGACGGTAGAGCACGTACCCACTCACTCCAGCAGCGACTGCGCAGGCTCGGTGCCGCCAGTTGAGGAAGTCCGAACAGGATCATGACGAGGTCCTCGTCGTTGGCCCGGGCTCCAGCCCGGCGGCCCCCGCAGCTCTCAGCAGGGCGGCCATCAGCGTGCTTCTTCCGCCTCGCCGCCTTCGCCGCCAGCCACGTCGGGCGCCACGGCCGCTGCGAAGAGCCGTCGCACTTCGTCGCGGAAGCGTAGCGTCGCCGCCCGCCGCTGCGCGCCGGGAAGAGTCTACGCAGCACCCGGTTTTCGACCCACTGGTTACCGAGCGCGGCGAGCTCGTCGCGCAGGAGACCCCGCCAGGCGCTCGGCTGCGCGGCTGGCAGCCGACGGCCGGTGACGATGCAGCCAGAAGAGAGGCTCACCAGCGGCCGCTGGAAGAGGTCGCGCACACTGCACCGAGCCGCCAGCCGCCGCCAGCGGCTCGGTCAGCTCGTCCAGCTCGTTCCGCCAGCAGGGCGTCGACCTCGCCCGTGTCCAGCATCTGCTGCAGCGTGTCGGTGACCAGCTGGGAGTTTCGGCGCACAGCGCTCGGCCCTCGGCCACAATGAGGCCGCGCTTCAGGCCGAACGAGAGCGCCATCTGTGCCGAGCTGGGCGCGCGCCCGTGCGCGCAGGCCGACTCCGCCGCTCACCGCCTGGCGCGCCACGGCCGCGTCCGAGACATACACGACCGAAGCGGGGGCCGTCGAAGAAGCTGGCCACGCAGCCGAAGCGATCGGAGAGGCCGCGCAGCACCGGTCAGCAAGTCGTCCGTGTCGAGCGCCGCGGCGAGAGAGACGGTGCCGAGTAGCGGCAGCGCCAGGGGGCCCCGGCGGTGCGCCGGACGGGCCGCCGCGGCCACAGCAGCGCCAGCACCAGCACCAGCGCCGCCACCAGCACCAGCACCAGCATCGCAGGGTCGCGCGCACGGGCTGCAGCGCGGGTGGGCCGCGACTGGCCGCCGCCGCCGCCGCCGCCGCTGCAAGACCTGCCGCCGCCGTTGTGGGGGAGGGGAAGGGTTGCACAGTCCTGTTTGCTGACTCAGGAAGGGGGGGGGGGAGGGGAGGGGGAGCGTGATAGTGGGTCGATGTCACGACAGGGCGGCTGGTGATTAGCATCGGACGCCTTTCACAAGAAATTATGAATTTAAAGTTATTGTGTTGGGGTAACACCTTTAGGGTACCAGGAGGTGCTGGTTGAGCGACGTGGAAATGCTAAAAACCACTATATTGGTGGTACGTGGTATTTGGAGCCTTCCTATTCTCAGGAGCGATATGAGCTCAGAAAGTTTCAACAAAAACACTACATCTAGGAAATGAGGCATGTGAATCCAGAACACACGCCCAAAAGCGTGCGAGAGTTTCGGAGCAAAACACCAGCGAAGGTGGCTTTTGTTGCGGGCAACCCTGGATAACAGGGTGGGTAAAAGAAGTGGTCCCTTCTCTATCTTAAGAACACAGGTACCCTCAGTTTCGCGAGGATAACATTACACAGCTGCATGTCACGCTTCATAGTATGTAACAAAATTCGCTTTCTCTGGAAATAGTGCTGAGTCACACCACACCTAGCCTGGAAGGACCTGGCGCTGGGGTGGCGTGGCTGGCACAGCGCTAGCCCCCAAGCCATGGATACCTATTCAAGTTTTCACGTCATTCTTTGGCATAGTTGGAAAACTGTGTACCTATCCTCCGTATGCGCAGGCCAGCCTCGCTGGAGCTCCATATCTGATCTGCACTCTGACTTAATAATAATGGGGTTGAGACATTTGAAAACAGAGCCGGTGTCTAACAACCATGAATGAACTTAGTCGGTACATATCGCAGAGGCCATGAAGACACATAGGTGCTGGGCAGAAAGGTAGCAGCATTTGCCAATCACAAACAAGTTTACTCCACTATTTTACCTAAACCCGAACAAAACCTAACCTTCCCTGACTCATCGCACCAGCGGCGACGATATTCCCTTTACGAGCCATTTCGTGACGATCCGTTTCTGCAAAATGTTTCTGCACAGGCAGTGTCACAGAAAAAGTCAACACCAGCTAGCGCCCTCTTCTGGCTGGCAAACACGCGGCTGCGAGTGCGACGATGGCGGCTAGCATGGCATGCTTTCCTGCGGACAGAGTCGAGAGTGATTTCTGTTTTATTTGAGATCATTCCACTCCCTGTCAGTCACGGTTCCTACCGTAGATTGGGACGGATGCCCGACCCCTCTATCACCTGCCCGACTTGGCGCAGCCCCGATGCCCCATGCGGTGCGCTGTGCCGATGTCCTACGCAGTGCGCTGTGCCGATGTCCTACGCAGTGTGCTGCACCGATGTCCCAAGCAGTGTGCTGTGCCGATGTCCCAAGCAGTGCGCTGTGCTGATGTCCTACGCAGTGCGCTGTGCCGATGTCCTACGCAGTGCGCTGTGCCGATGTCCTACGCAGTGCGCTGTGCCGATGTCCTACGCAGTGCGCTGTACCGATGTCCCAAGCAGTGTGCTGTGCCGATGTCCCAAGCAGTGCGCTGTGCTGATGTCCTACGCAGTGCGCTGTGCCGATGTCCCAAGCAGTGCGCTGTGCCGATGTCCCAAGCAGTGTCCTGTGCCGATGTCCCAAGCAGTGCGCTGTGCCGATGCCCCACGCAGTGCGCTGTGCCGATGTCCTACGCAGTGCGCTGTGCCGATGTCCTACGCAGTGCGCTGAGCCGACGTCCCACGTAGTACGCTGTGCCGACGTCCGTTCCGATAGCTCAGTTGGTCAGAGCGCCTGCCCTTCGATCCCCACACGTAGAAAGGTGGGTTCGGGTCGCTTTAGAAGCCCGCTGTTTGCCGTTGATTCGTGTGGTTTGCGGCCGGTGGTAGAGGCTGCGCTAAATGTCAAATGACGCGAGAGGACGGGACCCACTGAGCCGCGTGGCGGGGCATTAAAGGGAGTGTTTCACATTTAAGTGGTGTTTTGAACTGAAAAAGCCATCTTGAATTACGATCAGTGCTGTTCACAACCCTGTTCTTTTAAGGGCTAAGCCCCTCTAGTTTGTAAGGCACACGCCCGCGGAAATGGAGATAAGTAATACCGGGGAGAGTATTTCGAAGTCACCTTGGCATTCCTGGCGTCATCAAAACGTCATTAAAGTCCTGCCATTCCATATGCCACGCGGCGATCAAAGCCAAGAAAAATATCATTGTCGAGGCGTTCATATCCGGCGTTCGCGAGCGCGATTTCCATATAACGGCCCTCATTGGCTCTCAGTCAATGTTGTGCGTACGATGACGTAATCACACCATACACATTGAGGAGCGTGCTTACTTAACAGAGAATTGTGCTGCCTAGAACAGTTTTTCCACTCCAAAGGTATACTTCCAGGTATAAGTGAGCTGTTTCTACAGCTGATGCTTTCTTCAATATCTTTAAATGAGTAAAAATCCCTTGTATTGTACGCAGGTAGGGCTACGCCATCCCCCCCATCAATTTTTTCACAAACAAAGCAAGATTCGATGTGCGCAAGCAAACTAAGCAAATTAAAATATGAGACGTATTACGCCGTCGCCACGCAGCTCCATCGTCAACTTCTGTCGCCATCTTGTTTTCTTCGTGCGCCCGCAGTCCCTGATCTGGATTTTTATGATTTTTTTAAAGCACAACGCTCCCCTGTTCAGAATACGAATTCTGGCATAGGCCAGTGGTGGTGCTGGTGGCTCGTCCACATTACTGTGGAAATCAACGCTTTCCTATCCACGCCATACGAGTTCATCTACACCGCTGCTGGATGAATGTCCCTGGCGCCGACCACGTATCTCAAGAAGTTCGGTCACTTCCGCATCAGCCCAACGGCTTCTGGTTGGTGTTGTGCGCGGTCTTGATGTTGCATTCGACGGATCTCTCGACTACCTCAGCAACTATGTACCAGTCATTTCTGCGCACAACACACCACCAGGTAGTCCTCCGCCCTTGCAAAGCCTATCGATTATCCGCCTGCGTTGAATTGAGCTCGGCCGGTGGCAGGGGCGCAGCCAGGGGCGGGGGGGGGGGGGGTGATCGGATCACCCTACGCTCGGATTGTCGTTTTTCATAGATGGCTCGCGAAGGAAGTCGAAATCGCCCAGATGCCTACACATCACGTTCCGCCCCCTTAACAAATCCTGGCTGCGCCCCTGGCCGGTAGTAGCACCGTGCATGTCTCGCT